ACTTTTAAATCACAACTTTGAAACAAAAAGGGCTATAGCAGTGAATCATACATCAAACGAAAGCTTATGATCTGTAGAATAGATTAGGGACAAAAATAAATGTTACCGTTTTACAAGCTCTGAATTAAATGAAATAACGTCCCGAAAAATAGCTTCTGTAGTTTGTCAAGGCTTCTCGTTTCTCTGTTCACATCAACTACCATTAGTCACTTGGGTCAAACTATCCTTTCTCGTCTCGATTTCTAGATTTTTTTAATCTGAGGTTTGTGTTAATGCTCATTTTTGTGGATCGCTTTGCTGAATAAATGTAAGTGCATTGTGTGTGTGTCATCGAATAATCGTTTTTAGTTCTCCTCTTTTCCAGGCCTTCTTAATCATGCTAATCTGCGTGATCTAGTATACAAAATACCTTCTGACTAGATGCGAACCACTACACTAATACCACGTGGTTGAAGCAATTCTGGAGCATTGATGAGTTGAAAATCAACCAATCAATCAATAACCGACAATTACTAAATAAATATACCAATTACGAAGATAAAATGAGTTAAGACATGTCATTACAACATAAAGAAAACAGTAAATTTAGTCAATAAACAGATATACTGATATTGATTTTCGGATGAATAACTACATGTTGCACACCCTTAAATCTTGTAAAAATTTATAGCTCTCAACAGTTAATCAAAGTATGATCATATTCAATTGTAAGAGCCATTCAAATAGTTTGATACATAAGTGTTCTCTACACACATCTTTTTAAAACACAAACACATGAAATGGTACATCTTATGATATAACACAACAAAATCCAGTCAATCATTGAATTTATCAAACTGTTAATAATCAATAGAGGAAACAAAAGTGACAATCACTATTTCCACTGTTCAGTATTCGATTTTAACATGTTAATTTTCGAAAGAAAAACAAAACGTCTTTCAAATAAACAAGAAGATTATTCAAGGGTAACGAAACGTAGTAAGAATATCTAGCCTCAAAAAAACTATGATATATATGTATGCCATAGTTCATATTAACAAGAAACATACAAGGATTAAGGGAAATTTGATATAGAAATTTGTAGTAAACCATTCATGAAAAGTTAAAACAAAAAAATAAAGGATCAGGTTTAATTAAAAGTGTACATTAATAGTGACCGGATAAATGGTGGATGAAAAGAATGCTTTCCACTATTAAAGAGAAGAAAATTTTTATTGAGAATAACATCTCAAACTATTGATTTCTAATTCACGGAATACGAACTACATTCGAAACGACTATCAAAACGATAATATTCTATCGATTAGATATTAAGTATAATTATTCCACTCTTATCATCACATTTTATTAAAAGATAAAACTTTTTGTGATACATTCAGTCACCAACTACTGTTCGTAGAAAATTCAAAGGAGATCAGTCTACCGATCATAGTCAATATAGAGCTTAGCACACATTTGAGCCATACCATGATAGTATGATGCGATGAAACTAACAAGATTAATAGCAAAGGAATCAAAAAACCAATGATAATGAGAAAGACTAAACATTGAGAAGATTTTTCAAGAAAATGGGACGAAAAGGCATGTAATTGATCTCAAAATCCAAGGGAAGATAAAGACTGAGTGCATCTACATCATTGTGACTGATTTTAAGACATGTCATTAGACATCTCCAACGACTACTGCTAGCGGTTATCACGTGAACTCAGAACAAGTAGTCTGTATCTACTAAAATAGCTCAGATTAAATTTAATGACCTCGTGGATTAATGCTGCGTTTTGATTTGGCTGCACCTAGCTTTCTTCCAACTTCCACTTAAGGTAATCTAACTCCGTCTGGAGTCCCCCTAGGGCTACTGCCGGTTTTAAGCCCGGATAAAGGAGGATTAGGTATAAGGTCAGTGACCTCATCCTGTAAGAACTAACTCGCTGATAAACGCTAACCAGAAACAATATTTCAAACCATTTAAACTCTGACCTGGGAGTTAGATCTTTATATACAAGAGTTTTCACGTCTCATAATGAAAGCTGGGTTCCTTCGGAAGTCACGAGTCTGATGTCTCTTCTGACAACCAGAGCAACCGTTAATTTAGGTACATGGAATTTTCGTACAATGTGGAAGACCATGAGTTGTCCAAGTTGCTTCACTTAAGGTCGTCTGTTAAGATGGGCAACTGGACACAGATAAGCCTCTCAAATGAAACGCATCATTAGCATCACACATTCGAAATACTCCAAATGCCCTGGTAAGGCCAAGAGTAGTGAGGATCCCGCTCTCCCTATCGAAATGCTCTCACATGGCCACAGGTATATAGCCACTGCCAAGGAATTCCCACTCACTGAATTCTCGCGACGAGGGTGTTGCTTACGAAATTGAAAGGACGAAAAGCGAATGTCCGGTGCTTTAACCGGGTTGGTAGACACGGAGAGTCCACCTAGGGGAGTTGGAAAACCCTGATTCCAAACCAATGGTTCAAATCGGCTCCAGGATCCTAAGGGAACAAATGGCGCATGAATCAATTATTGGTCACCGGCTACCATGGGACTGCATCTCCAGACGTTGCTTCATTGCCTTATGGATCAGACCTTTAGGTCGAAGGCTTTGGGAGTGGCCACCTAAGAAAACCACCTGATTCGGTCTGGGCACCCGGCAGTATCACAGCTTACATACAAATCAAGTGACTTATATGGCACATATCTGTTTGGTGCCCTCTTGTACCAATAATTATGTGTTCAAATAGATGAATAAATCAGTGATAGTAAGAAAGTGCTGCACTTTTGATTGACACGTTTTATCCCCCTCCTTTCAATGCTTCGAACAACAACCGATGGATAAACATTTCAAACAGTAACGGATTTATTATTTTTCAAAATTCCTTATGAGATCTGAAAACCATAAATTTAATCCTGTACGAAGACACATGTTAATGAAAACTATCGAAGAATCCCAAATCACGAAGAAAATATTACAGAACTGTGAAGCTTTCATAAGAAGAATTGTGATATTGGGATTTCCTGTTGGTCTACAGTAAATTCCATTTGCAAACGATTGAGGTGACACAGACGAATGTTTGTTGCACGACAACACCTCAATGTTAGTAATCCACACTCTAATAGGGAATATAAGACTTTCTGGATAATTCTATACTGAATACTGAAGTTTAAAATTGAAAAGAAGTAAATGTGCTTTGTAGTGGTAGTAGTAGTAGTAACATATGGTGATGTAGCGGTACATTACAAGGTTAAAAAAACTGAAAGCGATAACATTCAACCAGGTAACAGCAAATGTTATCGCGGAAATGTGAAGTAAGAAAAACTCGTCGAAGTTATCCTTTAAAGAAAGAACTAACATGTAATAATCAAACAAACTAGATAACTTGATCTCTTCTTAATAATAACACTCTCTATGCTTTAACGATTATTGAGCAATCAAACCTTAACAAAAAAATCAACTTTAAAATACATACAAATCTTCATACTGAAATGCAGTTTGATTTAATCAAAACAGCCAAAAATACAATTACTTTCATTCGCAACAGGAAAAAACAATTTGTGAAAACGATACCTTTAAATTATTACTACTATTAATACATTTCCAATTTACTTCAGACATATTTTGTGTCCTATTTACCAATCAGTCAAAATTACAGAAAATAACAGTTTCAACAGTTAATCAATGGTATCATCAACAATAGTATTTTACCTGCCATGTAAATGCTCAATGATAACTGAACAGTTATAAAAGCATCAACATTTAAAAAGCAAAGTGGCATGTTATAATTTACATCCAGAAGTTGTCTTGGTTAGATAACCATTGAAAACCAGAAAGCATTGGGTAACTGTTTTTTCGTAGTAAAGGAAGGTGTGATAAACGGACTGTAAGAAATATCGAATGTGAACTGACTACCTACCCATAGTGTAAGAATTTTGACCAGAAAATCTGGTAGTCAATAACACATTGATTCATTTTAGTATTGCTTTGAACATAAACCTTCGTATGTATGTATGTATTGGCTAGGTATGAAAACTATATTGCTTGTATGAAGAGCTGCAAAATATTTTATCAACAAAAATGCTAAAAAACCGAGACCCTCAAAATATTTTAAAAGATAACTGAGGTATCCGATATATTTCCTATACATAGTAAGCAACTCACTACCTATCATAAAGCTCAGATTGTCTGCCAATCACTCTAAAATATCAACACATATTACAGGAGTAAAGAAAAATAGAACTCTGGTCATTGACTCATTAAAAATGTCGACGCCATTTTAAGAAGTATGTAGAAGGAAAAATAAAGAGATATGACAGCTGGAAGTCGAATGACATATAAAAGTAAGAAAACACGTTCGGAATTTGTAGTAGTACAAACGCTTGAATCTTTTTGGATTAATAAAAACATTTTTGATTATATACATATATATATCATGTCAGGTGGTTGGGAGTAGTAGACAAGAAATCCTAAGCATTGATTTTGTGTTAGTTTGTACTCGTCACTGTTTACAAAGCTCAGTGATAATATTTCAGACTATGAAATTAGTTCTTAAAATCGTATCTTACAAAGTGCATCAGTGAATCCGGATACGCCCTGCTGAAGAATATCGACTAACAAGAAGTCAAGATTGAGGATTTCCTGTCAACTTCTTGTAACAATCTAAAACTCAAACAGACTGCATGGAGTATCGTGGATTGATTGAAGTCTGACTTCTACACCGCTGGATCCCAGTTCAGTGATCTAGAGGTTAGGCGTTTGTGAGTGAGATCAAATGTCCTGGTCTAGACTCCTGGTTGCAGGGTCGTGAACGAACACTACTGAAGAACCCTATACTGGGAATAAACAGTCGTCCAGTGCCCTCAATTTCACAATGACTGTCTAACTTATATTAGTTTGCGATTTCAATGAAATATCGAGTTACTTAGACTAGTGGGTATACTGTAATTTAAACAGTAAAATTCGTTCGAAACCAAGGACTAGACAAATATATACAAATTTCCACTCACTTTATTGACAGCAAATAAACAATCCAACAATGTTAAGTGATAAGTAGATGCACCAAAAGAGGCATCTCTGAAAAAGATTCGGAAATATTTGGAAATTATACGATCAATTAACAGATAGAGAGATTGTAAAACAAAAAGGCAATAAAATTAATAGTTATTGTCAAGATTATCACAAATTTAATTTAGCATTCTTCATCTCTAGTCAAAACATACAGAAAATCAACCTAAGAACGAAAGTGATGGAAAATCACTTTTCATCTTATCATTTAATTTCATAGAATAGTAATAGTTAACAAACTTCATCATTTTTGTACACCAATGAACTTAATTGAATTGTTAATTTATTCAAATCAATTGTTTTTTATGAATAGTGCATAACATAAATCAGATTATCAAAAACTGCAGTAATATAATCCACTTCAATATTTCTGACAAGTAAATGAAAATACAAACAAATAAAAGCATTAGTATGTAATTATTCATAGTTACGAATAACTTTTAATCTAACTACTTGTCATCAATAGATCTTTCAATATAACATGTACAAATATTACTAATTAATCCGTTTTGTAGACTTGAACTCTGACCTTATAGTTGCAGATTATGTGCATTGTTAACTGGTGAATAAAAATTACTCATTGACTGGAACACCTTCAATTAAAAGCTTTGACATTTTTCATTGGAATTCGTATCCCCAAATTTGAATATGTTCATTTATAATATGTAACAATGAACTGATGTTCGTAAAATTGAAAACAGTAGTTAATTTATTGAGCATAATCTTTCGACTAATTGTAGCAGATTAATTCAAAGTTCATATAAACCTTCTTCTCTTATTGTGTCCAAGAGACTGTATAATATTTAATAAAGAGAATTTTACAGGTTTGTAAATTATCCTGAATCCAAATAATTTCGATGATCTAACTGTAACAGATGAGAAATTTCTTATATGAAATAAAAGTTTTTTTTTTCTAGTTTTATAAGACAATTTGAGATTTGACAATAAGTTACATAGGTAGTTTCTAACATTTCATAAATGTTCATTATTTTCGAAATTTAGAAATTAGTTCTCATTTCCTTAGAAAATTTATATACTATATTTCTAACTTTTTCAAATAACGATTTTACACAAAAGCATTCATGAGTAGTCAAGCTGTTTGCCAGTGTGGCTTAGGATTCAATGTGGTTTAACTTTTTAACACACATGTTTTTTTGTAAATGGTTTCCGTTAGAAATTTGTTTTGAAACTATTACCCGAAACAACTGAACCAAACTTTATCTTTCATCTGTTCAAAAGATATCTTTCTCAAGTTGTATATTAAATTACTTGTAGACACGTTCATATGGTTTTAGTGATTATATTGTATAAGCCAAATTTGTCTCAGCATACTTCTGATAATCTATTCACTAAATATGTTAAATGGTTATTCGATGATTGGACTATTTTGATCTGACTAGCGAAAAAATAAATCTACATCAAACTAAATAACCCTATGATAAACAGAAGACTCGTAAAATTTCTAATCAAATTTAAATCATAAAACAGATACTATATATTTCAATTAAATGAACTATTTTAACTCAAAAATAATATATTTCTCTAAACTTGTGATTATTAAGGAATCTAGTTTTTTTTTCAAAAAAAAGAAGACGCGCCTCTCTGATATTTTCTTGTTCTGTATAAAGCGAATGATTTCAGCAGTATTAAAAAAAACTAACCTCAAAAAACCATTTGAAGTACCTAATAGTAATCGATTTACCGAGTCTTATTATTTTCCTCATAAACATCAAACCAATTTATACACATATGTAATCAATCAATAAGATTTCATTAGACTACTTATTTTCTAAACTAGTTTACAATCAAATCTTATATTATCCAAATAATTCGAGACCTTTGTAGTGTTCTTTTCAGTATCATGTAACACACATATACGTATTAATTTTCCTCCTATTATTTTTTCAGAATCAATATTATGATGAACTTGAGTATATAAAAAGCTTGATAATTAATATAAGGTAAATATTGATGAATTATTGATCCGCAAAGTTTTTAAATTTGAAAACAGAAGCTGGAAATATGGTAACTTCAATTGACGCGGTTTGATTGATCACTAAACAAAATTCCTTTCATTAAATTTAATTCATTTATTGCTTGCTAATCTATCAAATAATCCATTTAAATTGAACTGATATCTAAACTTATGTAGTTCAACTAGTATCATTAACAATAGAATAGTATTAGCTAGAATTCTAAAGTTAAAAATATACAATTTTCCAGCAAATAAAGAAAAACAAAAGTGAATTGTTGTAAAATATGACAAATTAGATTGATTATTGTTGCTATTTAGGAGAAAGTACAAATTTAGACTATTCAACTACAAGATATTTAAGTTGAAATGAATTAACAGAAAACATGTAAATAGATAAATGGCTGAAACAGCACAGCAAATCTATAAATGGTACGTGTTCAAATAAAGATCAATTAACAAACTATCTTCTTGCTGGGGAATCTGATAACAATAAAACTGATATTGTCAAAAATAATTAAGAGTAATGACAATTACAGGTTTTCACCACACATATAATCAATGATCTTTAGAAAATGCATATTTATCACGTAAAATCCGTGATATGAGTTTGTAAAATTAAGAACATGTGATGTTGTGAAATTACATGAGAATATGAATACAAACATGAAATCATGCTTATATTATGGAGAAAAATTTCATCGACTATTATGATAGAGGTGATCACAATCAGTTGCTAATGGAGGTAAGGATATCAATTTGACTGCTGTACTAAGTTACATTATTCAACAGTTATAAGTAATCATTATTACAATTTATTGTTTATAGCATAAAAACAATTTTTTCAGCGGGTCATCAAAAAATGTCCCAAGTAAAAAGAAATGACTATCATGAAAGTAAATCCGATTGGGAGATTACGTACTAGTAATAGTAATAAGATAAAGCATATTACAGGTTATAATTTAAAATAAGAAGATAATGTTGACAGAGAGTGATGATGGTTAGAATCTTATAAAAATTATTAACTATCTCAAGATTGCAGATTTATCTTCTTGACAACTATCGAATAACAAGAAATCTATGTCTAGAACATACTTTCTACTACCTGGCAACATTCAACATAGCTAAAGCATATTTCATTTGTTTAAAAAAACGATATTGTTAAAAAATGAAAGGACCCGCTGGTCACCAATAAAAGCCTAATTATATTTGAGACGAAAGTTGCTGAAAGTAAACCGCTTTAAGACTTTTAAAATCAATGTCTCTGAAATACCGAGATGAAAAGTCAAAATTAAACTGATTTATTTTGATTGAGATCATGAACCGATTGATGTTAGACTGGACGAAACGGCCGTCCAGTGCTTCCAGGTTTCCAAAGGTGGTCTAACATCAATCGGTTCATGATCTCAATCAAAAACTTAATAATCTCCACAACCCCTATACTTGTAAATTGATTCACTCATTATGATTTTTGTTCAACATTACTTCCGCTTTAATTCAATGTGATGAGTACTCAGTATAGTATTTGTTTCACTTCCCCCTATGACATTTTATTCTGTATCACATACGATGTTCTTGTATTAAGTTAACATAAACTATATTCAGCATATGATTTGTTATAACTAAGTATTTTTCATATATGTTATTTCAACTTAATTATTAATCAAAAACGAGTGTATGAATCAATATATAAATGAGTGTTATTCGACTAGACTTGTCGTGGTTGTTCGTGCTTCTGGCTGCTTGTGGAATATATTTCCCTCTTTGAACTTAGACTTCTCTCTCAACTTAGCTGGGCTGGAACGTGTCGGATTAGCTAGCTTATCTGTCATTGTGTCACAGAGTCTTCGTTCCGTTCTCAGATTAGGTGAACTCGTAATCTCTTCAAACATAGCATTTTCGGAAGTCTCATCAGTATTCGTTAATAAACCATTGCAATAACTTCATCATATAAGTGAATCGGGCATTCAATTTCACTATAAACTCTCAGTACAGACCAGTCACCTTTAAGGCATTTGTTAAAAGATAGTTAACAAAAAGCTCCATTTAACCGAAAATTGTACCAGGTCATAATATTCATTTCATGAAAAAGAACGGCTAAAGGGTGCAAAAACTATGCAACAAAATCCAAGCTATATACATGATGCTCGGGTTTATTTGATTTATTACTATAATTTGAAAGACACACGATTTGTGAGAAAGGAGTATATGAATTGCGAAATCATAGACTTGCATATTACTCTGGTGAAATAAAACATCTGCTGATTCAAACGATGCGTAGTATAGACAGACAATCGACTTTCAGTGAATGGGTTTCAAGTTATAAAATATAAAGTTCTTACTGCGATGTTCATCACAATAATCCTCGTTAGTTACATATTTTTTTTAATAAAAAAGATTGGTTTAGCGAAGAATTCTCTGTTCGGCGAATTTATTTTCAAAACTGTACAATCGCAAATATATATAAATATTTTAAAAATATGGAACGCTTCACGATTTCGCGTGTCATCCTTGCGCAGGGGCCATGATAATCTTCTCTGTATCGTTCCAATTTTAGTATATGTACAGCCGAGGCGAGTACTCGCTTGCGACTGAACAGCTTTGAAAATGAATTCGCCGAAAAGAGAACTTTTCGCTGAACCAATCATTCTTATTTAATGTCTTGATGGGTGCATTCCGTTTATTTATTTTTTTAAAACCACAACAATAATCTCCAAAGGTAATTGAGTTATTTTGTTTTATTTATATATATATATAAGTATTTTCACTGATATAAGCTACTGCGAATAGTATAACACTACAGTACTTTAAAATTCCAATAGTTTTAAGACGTTCTGCAGTTCAGCAAACTAATTTACTCCAATTTTAACAACCTACACTCAAAAAATTTATCTTATGTAGATCAGATGACCTTACAGTGATTTGTTTGGCAGATATGGCCGTTATTATATTATAAGTCTAAACTTTGCACATAAAAACAGTATTTTCAGTCATTCAATCACCCACGGTCTTGAACTCCATTTTCATAAACCATCGT